ATAATGGCGACATTTTGAGGGTAAAATGATGGCTGTAACACTGTGGACACAGCAGCAGTTGAAAGAGAAGTGTTTAAGATGAATCTTGGTACAGTGGCAGGCAGAGCTCGTTAAGCAGGCAGGTGTGAGCCTGGTTGCTATAGTGACCGCACCCAATGGCTCCATACACACGCACACAGACATGCACCTCACTTTTGCTGCTTAAAATGAACAGAAAAGTCAGGCCGAAACAAATCGTTCCCAAATGAAAAGTAAAAGTCGTATTGACAAAATTCTTTCACCGTGAGCGACAGCAATGTCTAGTCTACTGAATTCTCAGTTTTCATGCCTGTGGAGTTTATTATATGGACGTGGTGACAGTGGAAAGACACCATGCTCTTCTGATTTTCAAACGAACCTTCTGAGCCATTTTAACATTAGAGTCTATGGAAGAGTTGGAGGGAGGAGGCTGTGCATTGGTGACATTTACGAAAGAACCATAACACCTAGGACAATAGTAAACACATTGGATGAAAGAGGACAGCGATGGCTACGTTTTGAGGGTAAAATCATACCTGTAGAGCAAACGCTGCGGACACAGCAGCAGTTTTAAAAAAGATTTTAAGATTAATTTTTTTGCTCCTCTCACTCTAGCAGTTGAGCTGCCTCACTCTAGCCCCAACATTCCGTCCCATACACACCCATTATAAACTCTGAAACGGGTGAAAAAACATCATGAAACTTAAACTGGAACTGAAGAAAAAGTATAATAGATATTGAAAAGATAAATACAAGTTGAATAGTTGAATGTCTTGTCTTCGTTTTAAAGTTTGAATGGTGGCTCTATGTCAATGTATGTGGAAGTAGTAAGAGTTTAAAAATGAGTAAGTTGAATGAGAATTTGAAGGGTCTCCCCATTGAAATACATGGGAAATTTTTGTTGAATAAAGTTGAATAAAATTAAAAATATAAATGTTAAAAATGAGAAAATAGAAGCAGTCATGTCCAAAATAATAGGAATCTAACGATGTTTGAATGGTTTTTCTAAGTTGAACGGTTTTGAAGGAGTAGGCTTTCAAAAAACGTACGGAATAATAAAAAATAATAATAAAGATTAGAAGAACAATACTGTGAATGCTTTTCAAGCATTCACACTAATAATAACTAGAAAGTGCATTTTCTGAAGAAACTGCAGTGTGAATGCTTGAATCTGAATGTATGCACTGAAATGAATTAATTGCTGAATTTTGAGTTAAAAATATTGAATGAGATTAAAAAAAAACAAAAAAACGAATTTAACCTGAAAACAAAGGTGCTGAACTGCTAAAAGCTGAAGGTTACACAGAAGAAGGAGTTGGAAAAAAACTGAAAATGTTTTAAATGTAAATTAGAAAACCCTAAGAAATGAGAAAAGAACATTTAGAGTCAGAAAACATCTGAAAGAATATTAAAAGGTCATATTCTTTGAATCACTGAATGACTCAAATGTGATCCCTCCACTTTGATCCACACAGTTTAAAAAGTTTAAATGCCTGAGCTTTGAAAGATACGGTGTTGGAAAGAGAACAACGATGGCGACGTTTTGAGGGTAAAATGATGGCTTTAACACTGTGGACACAGCAGCAGTTGAAAGAGAAGTGCTTAAGATGAATCTTGGTACAGTGGCAGGCAGAGCTCGTTAAGCAGGCAGGTGTGAGCCTGGTTGCTATAGTGACCGCACCCAATGGCTCCATACACACGTACACAGACATGCGCCTCACTTTTGCTGCTTAAAATGAACAGAAAAGTCAGGCCGAAACAAATCGCTCCCAAATGAAAAGTAAAAGTCGTATTGACAAAATTCTTTCACCGTGAGTGACAGCAATGTCTAGTCTACTGAATTCTCAGTTTTCATGCCTGTGGAGTTTATTATATGGACGTGGTGACAGTGGAAAGACACCATGCTCTTCTGATTTTCAAACGAACCTTCTGAGCCATTTTAACATTAGAGTCTATGGAAGAGTTGGAGGGAGGAGGCTGTGCATTGGTGACATTTATGAAAGAACCATAACACCTAGTACAATAGTAAACACATTGGATGAAAGAGGACAGCCATGGCTACGTTTTGAGGGTAAAATCATACCTGTAGAGCAAACGCTGCGGACACAGCAGCAGTTTTAAAAAGATTTTAAGATTATTTTTTTTGCTCCTCTCACTCTAGCAGTTGAGCTGCCTCACTCTAGCCCCAACATTCCGTCCCATACACACCCATTATAAACTCTGAAACGGGTGAAAAAACATCATGAAACTTAAACTGGAACTGAAGAAAAAGTATAATAGATATTGAAAAGATAAATACAAGTTGAATAGTTGAATGTCTTGTCTTCGTTTTAAAGTTTGAATGGTGGCTCTATGTGAACGTATGTTGAAGTAGTAAGAGTTTAAAAATGAGTAAGTTGAATGAGAATTTGAAGGGTCTCCCCATTGAAATACATGGGAAATTTTTGTTGAATAAAGTTGAATAAAATTAAAAATATAAATGTTAAAAATGAGAAAAATACAAGCAACAATGTCCAAAAGAATAGGAATCTAATGGTGTTTGAATGGTTTTTCTAAGTTGAATGGTTTTGAAGGAGTAGGCTTTCAAAAAACGTACGGAATAGATAATAAAATATAAGAATAAAGATTAGAAGAACAATACTGTGAATGCTTTTCAAGCATTCACACTAATAACTAGAAAGTGCATTTTCTGAAGAAACTGCAGTGTGAATGCTTGAATCTGAATGTATGCACTGAAATGAATTAATTGCTGAATTTTGAGTTAAAAATATTGAATGAGATTTAAAAAAAACAACAACAAAAAAACGAATTTAACCTGAAAACAAAGGTGCTGAACTGCTAAAAGCTGAAGGTTACACAGAAGAAGAAGTTGGAAAAAAGCTGAAAATGTTTTAATTGTAAATTAGAAAAACCTAAGAAATGAGAAAAGAACATTTAGAGTCAGAAAACATCTGAAAGAATATTAAAAGGTCATATTCTTTGAATCACTGAATGACTAAAATGTGATCCCTCCACTTGGACCCACACAGTTTAAAAAGTTTACATCTCTGAGCTTTGAAAGACAAGATGTTGGAAAAAGAACAACGATGGCGACGTTTTGAGGGTAAAATGATGGCTGTAACACTGTGGACACAGCAGCAGTTGAAAGAGAAGTGTTTAAGATGAATCTTGGCAGAGTGAGAGAGAGAGCTCGTTAAGCAGGCAGGTGTGAGCCTGGTTGCTATAGTGACTGCACCCAATGGCTCCATACACACGCACACAGACATGCACCTCACTTTTGCTGCTTAAAATGAACAGAAAAGTCAGGCCGAAACAAATCGTTCCCATATGAAAAGTACAAGTCGTATTGACGAAATTCTTTCACTGTGAGCGACAGCAATGTCTAGTCTACTGAATTCTCAGTTTTCATGCCTGTGGAGTTTATTATATGGACGTGGTGACAGTGGAAAGACACCATGCTCTTCTGATTTTCAAAAGAACCTTCTGAGCCATTTTAACATTAGAGTCTATGGAAGAGTTGGAGGGAGGAGGCTGTGCATTGGTGACATTTATGAAAGAACCATAACACCTAGTACAATAGTAAACACATTGGATGAAAGAGGACAGCGATGGCTACGTTTTGAGGGTAAAATCATACCTGTAGAGCAAACGCTGCGGACACAGCAGCAGTTTTAAAAAAGATTTTAAGATTAATTTTTTTGCTCCTCTCACTCTAGCAGTTGAGCTGTCTCACTCTAGCCCCAACATTCCGTCCCATACACACCCATTATAAATTTTGAAACGGGTGAAAAAACATCATGAAACTTAAACTGGAACTGAAGAAAAAGTATAATAGATATTGAAAAGATAAATGCAAGTTGAATAGTTGAATGTCTTGTCTTCGTTTTAAAGTTTGAATGGTGGCTCTATGTCAATGTATGTGGAAGTAGTAAGAGTTTAAAAATGAGTAAGTTGAATGAGGATTTGAAGGGTCTCCCCATTGAAATACATTATAAATTTTTGTTGAATAAAGTTGAATAAAATTAAAAATATAAATGTTAAAAATATGAAAAATGGAAGCAGTGTTGTCCAAAGAATAGGAATCTAACGGTGTTGGAATGGTTTTTCTAAGTTGAACGGTTTTGAAGGAGTAGGATTACAAAAAACGTACGGAATACAGAATAAATATAATAATAATAATAATAATAAAGATTAGAAGAACAATACTGTGAATGCTTTTCAAGCATTCACACTAATAATAATAATAATAAAGATTACAACAACAATACTGTGAATGCTTTTCAAGCATTCACACAAACAAGGGCTGCAGTGTGACTGCTCATCAGTTGAAATTCAGGCTCTGGCTGCTGTGCTGGGGTCTGCAGAGACGCAGCTTTAACGTCACTCTGTGTTCTTGGCTAGCTCTGTGTTATCATGCTGTCTGTGCAGATGGTTTGATGCCACTGTACCTAACTTAACTTTTACAGCCTTTCATTCTCTCTGGCTGTCAGTTCTAGTTGAGCAATATAGCTTTTCGTTTATTGTGTAAATACAGTCTCATTAACTTCTGTTATTGTTAGATTTTTTGTAACTGAGGATTATATTTAGCATATATTTATGGTGAATTTAATGACTGGAATAACTTTATGTGATTCAAAGTTCAAAATAATAATGTCTATCATTTACTTAATTTCTTTCAGTTCATCATCTTTCTGAAAGCCATTTGAATTCTCCTCTTTCTCTCTAACCCAACTCTCTTCTGATGGCTGCTTTTACTTTGTCTCTACAAACAGAATCTACTGCTTGAAGATACCACCTCATCCACCAAGGCGGTCTCCCGTGGCTAGTTAACCAGTAGAAAGTTGGCACACAGACCAGGTAAGGTATAAGGTATAAAATATTATAGTGATCCCAATAATATTTATAATATGACGACAGAGAATAGAGGAAGTGGGTCTTGAGGCACCCATTTAAGTCATTATTAGCTCTCTGCTTTGTCTTACATCATGTTCGTGATAAACAAAAATGCTGTGAATGATGTTGCGTGTCTTTAGCTAGCATAATACAAAAGAAACAATCTTCCGTGAAAGTTTAAACTGGAAAAACTAGTAACTGAATGCATCAAAGTTTCAGTTTGCGGTTCACCTGATCTTTGTGAAGCAGAAACAATAACAAGATGTTAGCTAATAGATATATATAACATCAAAACACAACAGGAATTTCTTTGTTTTACACTTTAATTCAGATCATACAGCAGATTAATTTTATGTAAAGGAAATAATACATAATAAAAAATACACCTGCTGTTCTGCTCTCAGTTCCATCAGTCTCTGTGACGCCAGAATAATTACCTGTCAGCAGAGGAATTTTTAAACCAACACTTCCTCATGTTTGAGCTTGTCACGCTTTGTGTGTGTCTGCATATTTACTACATACTATTAAAATTATATTTTAGTGAGTTCCTTCTGTTTTTACAGTCTGGATTAGGCTGCTTCCTGCTCTGTAGGTCTTCATCTCTGCTGATCAGGAGGTCTCAGACTAGATCTTTTAGACATGAGCCTCTGATCCTGTTAAAGTAGTTCAGATCTTTACGTAACTTAACATTTCCAAAAGACTGAAATCGCACTGAGTTATCCGAGTGCGTGCTCTATAAGGACTCTGATATTAGATGATCTGTATTATTCCGGAAAACAGGTTAAAGGGGAAAAAAAAGTTTGAAGCTTTTTTTTTTTAATTCAAAGGCTTGGAACCTCAGAGGAGGGTAATACACAGTGAAACTCAAGAGACCACATTCTGACCTACTATTGATGATTAAAACCTTTAAACTGAAAAATAAAAACAAGAATAATAAAAAAAAACCTCAAATCCAGCAATTAAAATCACAGAATTCAACGTGAACATGAACGTGAACGTGAACATGACAACAGCACAACACAAAGACATGGAAATGTCTGCTACATCTAAATATTTTTCTGCATGTTATGCATGACTCGAGTCAAAGCCCAGTTCAGGTTTACTCCTGCAGAGTAAACCTGAACTGCTTTACTTTGTGTTTTGTTTTTTAATTTATTTGTTTGTTTTTCATGAGACTTAAGTAAAAATCTGAATTACAACTTTTTAACAAAAAAACTGATTTTATCAGATTGATCTTCCCTTTAACTGGATACAATGTTCAATCAGATTAATGATCAGTGTCTGATTAGTCTAAAGTTTCACACAGATCTATTTAAACTGTTTATCACAATAACAAATGTTTTAGTGCAGACCTACTGACTGATAACATGTGTGAATTCAATCAGTCAATAATCTATAATCATGTGGAATTGTCTTCAAACACAAAAGTGATCAAAGTTTGTCCTGATATAAGAGCTTAACATTTGGTCCAAACATCACAGAGCGGAAACAAGCAGTCAAACTGTTAAAGAAGGAAACAAAGCAAACTTACAGTTTCTTCACACGGAGATACAATCAACAAGCTCCACTCCACACCTGAGTTTGTGTTTCCAGCTCAGACGTGTTAAACGCTGCTGCTGTGCTACATTTGTCATTTCCTGCTTTCACTACCATCCATGTCAAAGCGCTGAAGTCATCTGATCACTTTAATGCAGTAAAGCAGGAGCTGTAAGTCTGACATTTATTTACTGTCATCACAAACACACACAGCTGGATTAGCACCCAGACAAAGGGCTGAAAAGCTGAAAATCATTCTTTGATTATTATTATTATGTATCCTGTTTATGTGGAGGCAGTTTTCTATCTGTCAGTGCTGAAGAAGACGTCACTGATCACATGACTCTAAGGGATGTTTCCTGCACCTCGCTGATTCTGAGCCATGAAGATTGAAGGCAGCTCTGAAGGCAAAGCAGGTCTGAGCCTGTGTTAGCAAGCTGTACCTAATAAAGTGGTAGTAAGTGTGTCAAGGACTCGGTAAGTAATGATAGCAGGGGGCAGCACAGAGAGGTTAGGCGCTGTCAGAGAAGCAGACTCACATCAGACTGGTCATATTCCATCATCTATACCTGAAATAATCATCAAACACACAGCAGACTTGAAACATGTGGAAACATCTGGACCTCAGTCTCAGCCTCAGACCTGCTCCTCTGCTTCCTGTTTACAGCGCACACATCATGCTGTGTACTGAGAGTCATGTGATCAAAGCGAGGACCTGGTACTCTGACACAGAGCTAGCACAGTTATCCTAATGTGTGATATTACTTCTAACCAGAGAGCATTTAGCTTTCACAGCCAGCCAACATCCTTTAACACTGAGCATGTGCAAACACAGCTCGCAGCTTCCATTACTCACAAGCTCCAGCCCGCCACTTAAAAGCCCAGAACAAACCTTGTGAACAACACAGTCCAGAGAGGTCATGTTAACGCTCTGTTTCGGGTGGGAAACTCAGCTGTGGTGTGGCTGTGCCTCTCCTACAATCTCTGATGTCAGAGCTGCTAAATTAGACTGAACTGAAGCCAGATTCAATCTTAAAACAGCCACAAAGTCTCAGAGAGAGAGAGCTCCATCTCTGGACCCAAGTATATGTTCCACCACCACGCTGCGATGAATCTTGGGATAGGGTGGGTCCACCTGTCCTTCAGATCCAGGAAGAAGGAGGACACAATTGCGGGAGCCTTGGATTAGCAAGATGGCACGGCCACGTCCAGACACCTTCCCGACCGCTCCGCACAGACTATGCACCTTTTTAGTTGTTAACTTATTTATTGCTTTGTTCTATGTTCCAAAATCTTCTGGCTTTTTAGTTTACGACAGCAGATTGCTTCTCAACATTGGTAATGTTACGGCCCTAGCAGGGCCTCTCTCTCTCCTGAGGGTGCCTGTGTGGGCGTGTCCCACTACCTCCTACCTGAGATGCCACCTTTCCCTCCGGCACAGCTGACTCCCATCAGCAATTAAGGGTATTTAAGCCCAGAGCAGGGTGAGCTCTGGGCCAGAGTGCCATTTGTGCGGGTACAGCTAGTGAGCTGTGTTTTCCTTTTGACATTTTGGCATTACTGACCAACGCCTGAGTTTTGTTTGTGTTACTTTTATGGTGATAGCGGCTTGTCCGTCTCTTTTAGTTTAATTACTTCAATAAAACTGTTTTATTTAACTTTCGCCTCTTGACTCCTTTTTCTGACCCGGTCACTTTTGTTACTTCCCCCTCCCCGCCTAGACCCCCCAGGGGAACGTAACAAGTGGGGGCTCGTCCGGGATATTTGAAAAGGGAGTTCTGTGTTGGATTTGGTTTTTTGATTATCTCTCTTTGTCACCTTTTAAAGATCCATAACTTCCCAGTTAATGTAGGTGAGTGTCCAGCTGAGCTTCTTAAGTTCCTCCCTCGGGCACTCTTTTGTTATTTTGCCTTTGTTATTTTTGGAGTAATCCTGGGTGGGGATTAATTCTCTGTCGGGGGTAGGCAATTCAGGGCTCCGGTCGCTGAAGTTCTGCCTTTAAAGTTGCCTCGAGCCCAGCACGCTCCGGAAGATAGGTAGGGCAAGGTTGTCGTGTTTAGGAACTGGGTAAGTTGTTTTTGTTAAGGTGTGTGTGGCGAGAGGTAAGTTGGTCAGCTAAAGTAAATTGTGTAGTTGTCTGTTAATTGTCTTAATTAGGTTGTGTTTTTCTAACCCTTCACCATCCCCAAAATGTTTGACACAGCTGCTAGTGTACAGGTGTTTAGAGGCTCGTTTGTGAGCAATAACATTCACCTGGTTCCAGACTTCTGTGAATCCAGTGTTCACAGCTTTTTCAGTGTGTTCGAACGCCTGGCAACTGCACTGCAGTGGCCTCAAGATGTGTGGGGGGTGATGTTGCTGTGTCGGTTGACAGGTAAGGCTCAAGAAGCGTGTTCTGGTCTGTCTGGGCAGGACGGCCTAGTTTATGAAAAGATCAAAAGGGCCGTCCTCAAAGCCTATGAACTGGTACCTGAGGCCTACAGGCAGCATTTTCGACGGTTGGAGTTGGCGCAGGGACAGTCCTATCTTGACTTCGCCAGGGAGAAGGCGAGGCTCTTTGATAGGTGGTGTGCGGCAAGCCAGGTTAATGATGTGGGGTCCATACGTGAGCTTATGCTGGTGGAGGATTTTAAAAACTCTGTTCCTAAGTCTGTGGCCCTTTATTTAAGTGAACAGAGGGTTACAACTCTACAGCAAACTGCCACCCTGGCAGATGAGTTTAAGCTGACTCATAAAGCAAGTGATATAGGACATGATATCCATCTGCACCATAGCGCGTCCTGGAGAGGTAAGAGTGGGCCAGCTAAGAAGGAAAATGCAGTTATGGTGTTAGGACCTAGGCCCAAACTGTGTTTTTTCTGTCACAAGCTTGGCCATGTGGTTGCCAATTGTGTCAAACTGGCACTCAAACAGAAAGCCCACTCAACACAAAAGGGGCCTGTTTTGAGAAAAGTCAGTCGTGGCTCTCAAACTGACAAGCTTGCCAGGCCTACGGAAAGGCTAAACCTGGAGCACAATTGCTCGGTAGCACCCCGTAATCAGTGTACGAGGCCAACTAACCCTGAGTTGCCGCTGGTTGACCCTTTCTCCAGTTCATGTTTAAAACCACCATTCAGACCTGCACCCCTTGCTAACAATCATGTCTGTGTTTCAGTGAAGCCTGCTAGCTGCCTGCTGGGTTCTCTACACGTGATAGTTCGAAGCCCTGGCTATCCCATGGGACACTGTTTCGAGGGTTTGGGTCCCCGCCTAGACCCCCCAGGGGAACGTAACAGGTAACAAGTTTGCACATGTAATCTTAGACGCTTAAACCCAACCCATCATGGCTGACTGAGATACTCCGTGGCGCAGACAACAACAATGGACAGGTTGCTTACCTGAGGTGAAGAACGAAGAAGCACCCGGGGAAATGCGCTGGTGTTCAGAACAGCCGGAGACAGCAGGCACGTCACATAGCATTCCCCAGTATCCTGCTGGCTAATCTACTGTTGCTGAAGAACAAGCTGGATAACCTAAAAGCAAGAGTCACCTTCCAACGAGACATGAGGGACTGCAACA